TAGGATTGTGTGATGACCCAATCTGCCTATCCCAATCTGCATCTGACTGCATTACATCTCATGCGAGATCAGATGGGGTTCACAATTCCCTGTAGATATTCCCATCACGTCTGGGAGCTTGGATAGTCCTCCTTGGATGAGATTGCACTATTAACTCAATGCCGGGTGCTGGCAAAGGTGAAGGTTGCCTCCTCCTTTGGGGAGATGGCAGTCCTTTAGTCTTCGGGACCCTTCTTTGCTGTCTAGGTGATTCAGGAGAGTGGAATGGTCTCCTCCAAACTACTTTGACTTCCTTGATCCTGATCATCAGGATTAGGCAACATACCAATGGGATAGTTGCTCGCCAAGGGGTTGCTTTCCAATAGCTTGACATTCCTTGCATTTTTCACGTGTAGTCTTCCTTTGATCAGAAGGAGACTTGGGACATTTGCTTCTTCCAGCAGGAGGGAGAGGTAGGACAGGAAAGTCGGCATCAGAATCACTATCATCCGAAGATGAAGATGATGATGAGTCGCTCGGCGGAGGACGAGGGACTGACTTCTTTCTTCCTGACACCTCAGAGTTGGTGAGATCTTCACCAATTTGTGGAACAAAACAACGTTTCTGGCTGTCAGGGCAACATGGATAGTACATTTCATCAAATGTAGCAGTAGTAGCCAGAAAAATTTGATTAGTGGACTGCATAAACATGTAGCCTTTGGTGCCTTCCTTGAACCCAATGAAAGTCATCATTTCAGACTTCGGGGCAAGTTTGTTCACTCTTCGATTAGAAGGTATGTAAACATAGGCGCCACAGCCAAATACATGCAAATGTCCAACATCAGGTACTACACTGAACATCCTTTCATAAGGAGTTTTCCAGGTAGATTTAGTCCCTTTCGAAAAATTGGACTTCTTTGGAGTGCAATTATAGATATGGACCGCGTACTCCACTGCAAATTCCCAATAGGATTCAGGAATGCAGGCTTCAAGCCTCATGGCTTGGGCTTTGTCCATCACCATTCGGACAAATCTCTCAGTGCATCCATTCTGCTGATGCATTTCGGGAACACTCATCAAGACTTTGATTCCCTCAGATTTGAAGAAATCCAACAGATCATCAGAAATAAATTCTCCCCCAATGTCAAATTGCCATTTCTGGACTTGAGCGTTGTGCTGTTGCTTAATCAATGCCACATGTTCTTTGATGGCTTGAGCAGTGCCGGACTTCTTTTTCAAGTTATACGTCCAAGCATGGGAGGAACAATCATCCAAAATAAGCATAAAATACTCATATTTATGGTATGATGTCTTCATCTGTTTGAGATCTGAATGGAATTTCTCAAATGGCTTTGATGCCCAATTGTCTGATCTAGGGAATGGCTTCAATGGCATTTTCCCTTCAGCACAACCTCAGCAAACTGGAGCCTTCTCAGGGATACTAAGATCCTGAGGGAAAGAATGGAGGTTTCTTTTGCCAGCCCACAAAACTTCTTTTGACGGATGCACAAGACATTTATGCCAGGTGTCAAAATCAGCATTAAAAACAACTGAATAAGATTGAATCTCGGAGATCTGAGACTCATACCAGTAGATGGTGTCATGTTTGTTATGTGGCTTGCAAGTCATCACAACTTTTGAACCTTTGTGGAAGGTCAAGCAATGTGCATTCCCAGAAATGGAATGTCTGTTGCGAAGCAATTGACTGGTAGACAATAGGCAAATGGAAAGTGAGAGCATGTATAGGACAGGGTATAGACGTGAAGTCCTCTTTTCCCTACTTCCATTGGTAAGCAATACCTCATGATCAATAAAAACAGTACCACATCCTTCAACCAAAGCTGAATCATTCGCTGTCTGAGAAGTTCCTAAATTAATAGGCTCATACTCAGCGAAATCAGATAGATTGTTGGTAAAATGTGCCGATGCACCACTGTCTTGGATCCATAGGACAGAATTGCCCTTAGTCTTACATCTCACACAAGTTGTGATATGATTGTTGATATTATTAAGCATATTACTGCTAGGTAAATCATATGATATGGTGGTAGGCATAGACAAATGTTCATAAAAAGTATTTACTCAGGGAGGAAGAGATCCCTGAACATAGTCAGCATTGCCATGCAATTGTGAAGAGCAAGAGACTTGCCTGTCATCATGAGCACCAGTGATCAAACCAGCTGCTTCAGCTATTTCGTCATTGACATCAATAGCCATGTCACCAAAATCTCCAAGATCAGAAGAGCTAATTGGAGACAGAGAACCCCTGTCAACATCCATTTTGGCTCACTTCAGAGAAGGTTTGCCGGTTTCTGCATCATGTTTAGTCAAAGCTAAAGCTTGCTGACAGAGTGCAGCTACCTCTTCAAGAAGTTTGAGGCTCTCAACCTTGCCAGGAGCACCAATGAAATCAGCAAGCTCGTGAGCACAGGCAACCTCAGGGTACTTGGAAGAATGGATGGTGCATCCAGAATAATGCATTGGGCCAGGGAACTGACGATTGTGCACTTTAGCACGTTCCTCTGGTGTCATGATTGGGGTGTCATTGATGATGTCAACATTGGAGTTGACAGTGGGTTGAATGAAAGATGGGTTGTAGAGACGAACCTGATCAAGGATGGACATAGAGGCGACATGAGAGTGGGATTTGGCCTTGCCTTTCCCAGACTTCTTGCCAGCTCTCTCGCCACAAAACTTGTTGTCACCTTTGCCTTTCTGCTTGTTGCTGGACTGTTGTTGCTGTTCAAAGGAAGGTTGGCTATCGGGTTTCTGCTTCACATTGGAAATCTTTTTAGCCATTCCAGTTAATTTGGCCTGAGATTGAGAAGCTTCCTTGCAGGTTCTCTCATACTCATTCCTAATAGCAGTGGCCACATCATCAAAAGAGATAATGTAGACCTCTGCAGCAACTCCAGCAACTGTAGTAGACTGAGCAGTGGCTTTGGTGTTCAAGATAGTCTGGCCGATGCTTTCCCAATTGTGTGGAACAGCGTTGAGTAAGATCATAGCATGAATAGTGCCAGGAATCTCCAAAGAGAGATCCTGAAGCTGTCCAAACAGGGTAGCAAACTCAGCTATCTCAGTAGTGGGGTCACAAGTCCCTGAGATTTTAAGTCTCATAACTCTCTGGAATAGAGAGTAACTACTGGATACAGACTTCTTGTCATACTTCGTCTGGAGAAAGTCCCAAATACCTTTAGAGGTAGTCTTGCCAGAACGGACAATCTTGTCATTGACTTGGTATGAACAACAAAGTTTGATCTGGCCAATGGCCTGATCATCCTTGTTGAGCCAATCGATGTAGCCAGCATCAGTATCGGCAGGGCAAAGAATAGTACCCTTGACAAAAAGCCAATTGCCTTGTGCTTGAATGTAGGCTTGCATCTTCTTGGACCAAGGGATATAGTCAACACCGTTAAAGACAGGTACAAGACATTTGATGGAGGAAGACAACATTTCAATAGAGATAATAGATCTGGGTGTTGTGTCAGTCATGCTGTAGTAATGGTGACAAGCCATGACAGCTAGCATGGGTCTGGCACCAACAATATCACACAATGATGAACAATATGTGGTATCTGATGCTAGCAGCAATCAAACCCAAATGGGTGACACGCTCAGCAATGATGAACCATTGTTTCCATTGCATCTGTCAGTGAGCAAGCTCAAACTGATAGTGACAGCACACCCTTTTAGGTGGCTAGATGGTCGGTGAGCAAGCTCAAATCGAACCCATCATTTAAGCTCACCATTTCAATGGCTTTTCATGGTTGTCACAGTCAGTGAGCAAGCTCAAACTAGACATGTGCACATTGACCATTCCACTGAGTTAACCTCCTCAACTGCAGCTGTTAGCCATGAAGGCCAGCACTGATGAGAGTGCTCAGGGCCCATAACCTATTGAAGGTATACAGTGGCAACGTCCAGAGGGAAACTCATAACACAACTAACACAAACACCTGTCTGGGTGTTGATAGTAGTTCACAAGAGTGTTTGTGGTGGTAAGAGTAAAGCAACTGTTATTGAGTATGGAGGAGAGGAGCTCCTTATATAGTTGTAAGATAGTGACGTGACAACATAATAATACATGTGAGTCCGAGTGTGACGATACTGAAATGAGTCATGGAAACAAGTCATGAATAGCACAGCCTCGGTGAGTCTGGAATTCATTCAACAATACTAATGGTTTTTGGAGTACTAGGGAACTGGGACTGGCAATACTGAGGTGAAGGTGAGAAGAACAAAGAACATTAGTAATAATTTTGTAAGTATCATAGTAAGTGGTCTAGCATGCAGTGCTGGGCTTTGTGTGTGCGAAATGGAGAGGAACCTTGATGACTAACATTTGGATAAGCTATTAGCTGCTGCTGAAGCAGGTGCAGGTGCATGCTTGTAACATTCTTGTCTATCATGACAGTTTCCCTTGCTCTCTTCCCCTTTTCCCTTTTGGTGTCCTTTCTGGTCTTGTGAGAGGTTGGGCAACTGCCCTCCTGACAACTATTCAGCAGTATAGACAGACATTAGTCTTCAATGGATGTATAACAATAGGCTAAAAGTACATATTTGTGTTTCAGTCATTCAATATTAGTACCTACAATTGACAATTTATATGTACATAGGCTCAAGCCTGAGCTCCCCCCAGCTCTGCCTAGCTCCAGCTCAGCTAAATAAGCTGAGCCTAGGATTTTAGTGGGCTCCAGCCAAGCTTGGAATTCACTACTTTCAACAGGAGTAGTCCTGGCCTCAACAACAACCCCAGAGTGTTTAGCAGAATTATCTAAATTGTTGTATTCAATTAAAATATTAAAATCTTCATATCTAACCTCTCACCTCTGGTGAACCTATGGTCAAAAAAAAGTACAGTATCATTGATTTTACAGTCTGGGCAGGTTGTACTAAAATCCCTCCAGAGGGCTGAACACTCAACCAGAAAAAAAAGTAAATAAGTGAGAAACTTTTTTTAGCCCAGGAGCACCCAAAGAACACTGCTGTCACCTAGGAATCTAAAAAGGTTTATCATCTACCGACGACGGGACTCGAACCCGCACACTTCGCCTTAGGAAAGCGACGCGCTACCATTGCGCCACGCCGGCCAAAGACAAGTGTCCTTCAAAAGAGACACTGATAAAGGCTATGGAATAGAAAGGATTAAAGGAAACTCCTATTCGTGATTCCCTATATTTCAGACGATTGCTGCCCTGCAATTGTTGGAATTGTATTGTAATGATAATGCCATGTTACGAAGTAATATGATGGGGTGGGAGAGAGAAAAAAAAAGACCATGCGAATAAACAGCAACAGTGGACGAATCAAGCAACCCTTAGGTGTTGGAATCTACGAACAACAGCCTTGTGCGGTTCCAGACGCGGGAGCACCGACGTTTACGCCACCACTGGCTGTACCCTGTTGAGGAGTGGCGCTTGAAGCTCCTGCATCGCCACCCTGTGAATCGATGAGACGATGTTTGATGTCTCTGCAATTGGAGATGTCAAGAAATGTATGGTGGAATGTATAAAGACAAGCACGTACCTCGCCAAGCTGAAGAAAGCTTCTTCGACACCTTCATTTACTTTCGCAGAGGTTTCCATAAATTTAATTCCTAATTCCTCAGCTAATTCTCGTCCTAGCGAAAGTCAAATGAGCAAGAGAAATGAATATAGGAGGAAAACCGACCCTGATCTGCAGATACGGCTCGCTTGTCGTTCCAATCGCTCTTGTTTCCAATGAGAATCTTGTTAACACCTTCCGAAGCGTGCTGCTCAATGTTCTGATGCCAAGTCCGGATGTCTGCGGGAGGTGGTTGAGTCTCGATTCAAATAGAGACGGAGACGTAAACAGACTGTTGAAACTCCTGTCGTCCGTCACATCGTAAACGAGAAGAATGCCCATAGCACCTCGGTAGTATGCGGTGGTAATGGTCCGGAAACGTTCTTGACCGGCTGTGTCCCACTGGTCACTAGAGTTAGCGAGCAATTAGTAGGTTAAGGCTACTGCGTACAATCTGAAGCTTAATCCTTTTGCCGTCAAGTTCGATTGTTCGAATCTTAAAGTCAATGCCGATAGTGGTAATGAAAGAAGGCGTCCAGGCATCATCGCAGAAACGCAGCAGCAGGCACGACTTCCCAACACCTAGTCAAGGAGAATCTGAGTTCTATTCACCAACAGAATACAAGACGGAGTCACCAGAGTCCCCAATGAGAAGGAGCTGTGTAGGCGTAATTCAGTATACAAATGGCTGCTTCAAACGAAATTAAATGCAGGTGTTGCGAACCTTGATGAGGAAGTCGTAGTGGGGAGGTGGCATATTAGCGAATTACAAGCTAAAGAGCACGGTTTAATGCCAGGAAGTGGAAGGGACGAGCAGCAAAGAGAGCGAACTTGGTGGCAGTTGGAGACAAGCAGGGACGGGGCCATCAAATGTGCTGTTGCAAGCAACCCTCATCCTGGCCGACTCCGATGCATGCCAACCTTACAGCCCGTGTCTCGTTCCTGAAGTGCTGTTGGCTCCACGGAATAAATTGCTGCAATATAAAATGAATTGCATAATAAGCTGACGTCAAGACGAGCGCTTCTTGACAGACACTTCTCACCAAGCAACCATTATGTCGCTCCTCCAGGATGTCCTGAAATCGAGCACGCTCTCAGCTAGCCATACAAAAGAACTCGAGCGCCGCTTGAAGGGGATTAGCATGCGTACAAACGATGATGATGCTGAACTAGATGACGATGAAGTACTTGTGAATGTGGTCAGTTGGACTTTTTTTTACCGATCTCTCCCTTCTCATCCTCATACTTGCTTAGGTATCAATACCAGGAACTCCAATCCGCACACGTCCCTCTTCTCCAACGAAATCAAAGCCTTCCTCTCGATCTTCTAGTCGTTTACCCGGTTCATCGCTCGCCGCTGTGAAACGTTCTTCAGATCCTTTACGTGCTTTTCCAACCGAAATATCCCAAAGAATATTTGGTAGACTTGGACTCAAAGATCTCAGTACATGTGGAGCTGTCTCCCAGAAATGGAGAGCGAGCCAAACAATGAATTATGGTGAGAAAACTGTGCAGTGCTTTCTAATTCAACTTGACTCACTCACGGCTCCGATAATGCTTAGTTTGGTTCCTATATTATCGCAAAGACAATTTCGGTGACTCGTCCATTCCTACTGGCAAGTGGACCAAACGCGAGAGCAAACAAAATTGGGTGGGTCTTGATTTTTTCTTTGCACGTTCGTGCATCGGTGCTGAAGGCTGATCTCTTCTTATTCACAGCGTCAGCTGACTCTATCATCCATGCGCCAGTCTGCCCTTGACCAAGAACGTTCAGTCTACTCAGGTTACTCAACGCCCGTGTCCGCTCATGGGGATGGCACCTTAACTCCGCGAGAAATGAAGGAAGAAAAGTGCGTCTTTATGTATCCTCTTGTGGCTTTTTTTTTGGTTACTGATCGTCACGACAGGTGGAAAGCTGAAGCTTCAGAAAAGTCATCTTCCAAAGCCGATATGCGCAACATGTACAAGGAACTCGGAGGGCGCAAATTCAAAGGCAAGGGCAAATTCGGAGCATCCTCTGGAGTTAGAGATCGAGGGGGTTGGGACGATGGAGATTATTGATTTGGATCTCAATCTTGGGGTCACTTATAAGGTCCCAAATGACATACCCGTGAATGAAGTCTGAGCCTTTCAAGCCCAGGACACTTGTTGCGGATTTATCAACTCTTCCTTGTATCGCTAGACACACGATTGCATGTATACACTACGGATAGACCACAAAATGTGCATGTAATTTTTTCTCAAGAGGTACGCCCAACTTGACTCAGGCGACCATGTCCACTTCTTTCTCCAGCACAGAGCAGACAACCATCTCACCATCAACTCTTCAACCATACCCCGAAACACACCGAGTATATCCGTCCACCTCTGATCTCGATAAAATCATCGAGACAAGCGCGTCGGCTCAATCGTTATGGGCCGAATCCAGCATTGAGGATCGCCTTGCAGTGGGCAACGGATTTGCAGCAGGCCTCAAGGTCCCTGGCTTCCCCTATGCAATCAACTTAAACGAAGTTCTAATTTCAATCAAAAGGCATTGATAGCCTCGCCCGAGCAAACTGCGAAAGAACTCACTCTTCAAATGGGTCGACCCGTCTCTCAAGGTGTTGGCGAACTCAAAGGCTGTCTCGGACGTGTCGAGTATCTTCTTTCTATTGCTCGGGAGTCACTAGCAGATGTTCCGTTGACTGATACGGATTTGCCTGGGTTCAAGAGATACATTCGTCGTGTCCCAATGGGCGTGGTGCTCGTTATCGCTCCTTGGAAGTACGTTCCCAATTCCATCATGAGTATGCGTTTCATCCTACTGACCTAAAATCCTGTTAGCTTTCCTTACCTTGTGACAATCAACTCTCTCCTTCCCGCCATCCTTGCAGGGAATAGTGTCATCCTTAAACCTTCTCCTCAAACACCTCTCGTCGCAGAAACGTTCCACAAGCTATTCAAAGATGCCGGACTGCCTGACGGTGTGTTCGAGGTACCGACAGCTGAGAATCCCTTTGAACTTTTATCTAACGAATTTTTGGTTTGCAGGTCGTGCACCTTTCGCCAAAACTTACATCCCAAGCCATTTCTCATCCAAAAATCTCCTTCATCTCTTTCACAGGTAAAAAGGAGTTACCTCTAATAGCACTGCATTAGACATCTCATCATTATTTTGCCAAGGTTCTGTTGCAAACGGTGCTGAAGTTTCAAAGATTGCAGCTAACGCCGCCGGCTTCAAAGGTGTTGCACTCGAACTAGGTGGCAAAGATCCTGCATATGTTCTTCCTGACTGTGACCTGGAATATACCGTCGAGCAGTTGGTGGATGGTGCGATGTTTAACTCAGGGCAATCATGTTGTGCCATCGAGGTTTGTCTAACTAAACCCTTCCCTGAACCTGAGTTCAGATGTTAACATCCTCCGGGTAGAGGATCTATGTTCACGAGTCAATTTATGATAAATTCGTACAACAGTATGCAGATCTTGTGAAAGTAAGTCTTTTTGGCTATGAATTCAAGAGTGGCTGATTGAACTCTTTTTTTTCCTCAAAAAAGACCTACAAGCTAGGCGATCCGCTTGATCCGTCTACCAACCTTGGACCCGTGGTCTCAATAGCTAGTGCCGATCGGATTCGTGCTCAGGTGGAAGCAGCGATTAAAGCAGGAGCGAAGCCACTCATTCCCGTATCCAATTTTGCGAATGTTGCAACATCAGGGTCTGCCTTCGTTGCTCCTCAGGTCCTCGTTGATGTTCACCATTGTATGTATTCACTCCTTCTTGTACGCGCCAAAAAATCCGACTATCTACAGCCATGGAGGTCATGTCAGAAGAAACATTTGGTCCAGTTGTCGGTATCATGAAAGTTTCATCCGACTCGGAGGCCATAAAGTTGATGAATGATTCTAAATACGGCCTCACGGCAAGCGTATGGACTACCTCCGCGGAAACGTTTACGCGGCTTGAGGGTAAGATTGAAGCCGGGACGGTGTTTATGAATAGGCGAGTCCCTTTGGTGCCCCGGATGAATGAAAGCATCGCTTATGAAGATGGTTTCAGATGTGATTTCCTTGATCCAGCACTTGCTTGGACGGGTGTTAAAGATAGCGGAAGAGGAGTTAGTTTGAGCAAGTTTGGTACGTGCTTCAGCTCTGCTTGAGACGTTCTCTGACAGAGCTACATTTCAGGATTTGACCAACTCACGAGAGCTAAGAGTGTGCATATGAAAATCAAGACCAATTAACTGTATGACCTGTGACCTGATGTAGAATATGAAAATTGGTCCTAATTGTCTCGCCTCAATTTAGAGACAAAGAGAGTCGACACACTCACGTGCTACTTTTTGCTCTTTTGCTTCTGCCCACCATGTCTTCCACAAGATGCGCGAAATGTCGTAAAGAACCTGCTACCCAACGATGCTCTGTATGCCATCGAACGTATTACTGCAATGTATATCCGCCAACCACTTGTGGATTCCTTTCCTCACTGTCTATTCGCACCAGCCCGAATGCCAAAAGAAACATTGGAAAATTCACAACCACATCTGCCCTCTGACTCCACCTACC